AAAAAAAAAGTAAAAAAAAAATAAACATTAAAAAAAAATTTTAATATATTTTTTAAAAATTACAAAAAACAAAAAAAAAGCCAACTGTTGAAAACTAACAGAAAATCAAAAAAGCATCCAGAGTGGGGCAGGAGGGGAAGGAAAGACACATAACTTTCAAAAGAAGGAACAATAAGATTGATAGCTGACTTCTCAATAGAAATGGTGTAAGTCTGAAGACAGTGGAATAATATCCTGAAAGTATTGAAAGAAGATAACTACCAACCTAAAATCCTATAGTTAGGGAGAACAAACTTCAAAAACAAAGATAATTACCAGAAGAAACGGAAGCATATATCCCTACAAAGACTCGTGCATGAAAGTTCATGCAGCTTTGTTTTCAACAGCCAGAGATAGAAAACAATGCAAATGTCTTTCAACAGTGAATAGATAAACAAATTGTGTCATATCCACTCAATACACGACTACCATTCAGCATTAACTCAATAAAGGACACAAAGAATAATATAAAGGAATAAACATGTAACAACATGGATGAATCTCAAAAATTAAATTGAGTGAAAGAAGCCAGAGTCCTCCACAAAGAGTCCATTCCTGTACAATTCTAGGGTATGGAAACTAATAAAACATTAATAAACAGGAGGATAGATGTTGGGAGACAGGTGGAGGGGGAGTTTAAGTTTATTTCCATGCCAATGGGAAGTCACTGAAAGATTTTAAGAGAGGGATATAATTTGTTTGGCTTAAGAACTACTGCTCTGGGGGCGCCTGGATGGCTCAGTGGGCTAAGTGTCCGGCTTTGGCTCAGGTCATGATCTCAGGGTTGGTGAGTTCAAGCCCCTCATCAGGCTCTGTGTTGACAGCTCAGAGCCCGGAGCCTGCTTCAGATTCTGTATCTCCCTCTCTCTGCCCCTTCCCTGCTCGTGCTCTGTCTCTGTCTCTCAAAAACAAGTAAATGGTAAAGAAAAGAAAAGAAAAGAAAAGAAAAGAAAAGAAAAGAAAAGAAAAGAAAAGAAAAATAAAAACTGCCTGCTCTGGCTGCCACAGGAAGGCTGGTAGGAGTGTGTCAAAACCGAACCCAGATCAGATGGGAAGATGTTGTAGTCATGCAGGTGGATGTGATGGCTGTAGAAACAGAGAAGGGAGGCAGGATTTCGGGATGTACCTGGGGGGTACACAGTACTTAAAAGCCATGGCAATGGATGAGAACAGCCAGGAAGAAGATGTAGCAAGAGGAGGAGCTCCCACAACTAAACCCTGATGACCGCCAACACGTAGAAGGTAGGCAGTGAACGAGGAAGAGCCCACAGAAGAGCCTGGGAAAGAAGGCCAGTGAGAGAGCCGGAAATGCCCACAGGCAGGGATGCACCTGAGGACTTAATAGTGCTCATCTGACTTGGAAGTACCAGCAACTGTGATAAGGACAGTTTCGGTAGATCCGTGGGTGGGCGGAAGACAGATGAAAAACACCAAAATCTTCATCAACTGTACGATAAATGAGCTGTATTGTACTCAAATGAGGAGAAACTACACAGCAGTGAGAACTGATGAATTACAGCTCAATAATCAACATGGATGAATCTCAGAAACAAGGCGGAGAGAATGAAGCAGTTATGAACTCCAAATATGTACAGATTAAAACAGGTGAAACAAAATAGGATAGTACGGAGGGCTACGTACATTGCTGGGGAAAAGTGTAAAGGCAAGCAAGGGAATGTGTAACACAAAACCTGGGACACTGGTTAAGTTGGGAAGCAACGCTGGAGATGAGATTGGGGAAGGGGGACAAAGGGACTCAGGGTTTGGATGATGTCCTCTTACTTGACCCATCAGTGAGCACACAGGTACATTTCGTTCTCTTCCTTAAAATGTACACATTTTACACGGACACCTTATTTAGCAATGAAAACATAAAGAGACCAAATGTTTGGGGCACAAAAAAGATGAAGGAAGAAAGCAAGTGCGGACAGTCATTCTCAGACGTTTTACTGTGAAGAGGCGCAGCGGGCGAGAGCTGGAGGGACATGAACCGTCAGAGGCGGCTTCTTCTCCAAAGAAGAGTGACACTGAAGCCCGTGTGTTTGTGGAGGGGGTAACCACCCAGCAGAGGGAGAGCTGATCACTGCAGGTGAGGGCCGCGTGAGTGGGGAGGGATCCAGTGCACCCGGATCTCAAGCAGAGAGAGGGATAAGAGAAGGTGGTAGGTTGAAGGCAGGTTGTAGGCCTGGGGGTGAGAGCAGGCCAGTGTTTGTATCCAATGGCTCTCAGTTTCTCAATGAAAAATGAGAGAAACCATCAGCTGAGAGTAAAGAGAAAGGACCAAAGAGGAAGGAGGAGACGATGTGAGACTGTTGTCTCTAGAAACCAAAAAGACAGCCTACTAGAATGGCCAGGCAGTGCTGAGAGCTCCCTCCACATTTGTGACTCGATGCCAAGTAAAAGGAATCGGCTTAGTTGGGTGGTTCTCTCCAGCCACGTCCAGCCTGCTCAGTCAGGACGCAGAGCAGGCTGTCGGGGGAGTCCATCCAGGCCTAGGGCTATCTGCAATGCTGTCCGATAGCACTTTACCTTAAGATGGAGACGTTCGATAATCTGCGCCGTCGAAAGCGGCAGCCACCAGCCACATGTGGCTAATGAGTACTTGGAATGTAGTGACACTGAGGAAATGAATTTGTAGTTTTCTTTCATTTCATTTGACTTAAACTTAAGTAGCCGCATGTATTCAGCAAAGTTTCAGGACACAAAATAAGCTGAGTTTCTATACACAGGACTAGCAATGAGGAATCCGAGAAGGAGATTAAGAAAATAAATGGATCCACGGGGGCGCCCGGCGGGGGCTCAGTCAGCTGAGCATCCAACTTCAGCTCTGGTCACAATCTCCCGGTTCGTGGGTTCAAACCCCACATCAGGCTCTGTGCTGACAGCTCAGAGCCTCGAGCCTGCTTCGGGTTCTGTGTCTCACTCTCTCTCTGCCCCTCCCCTGCTCATGCTCTACCTCTCAAAAATAAATAAACATTAAAAAAAATTTTTTTTTAAAGAAAAAGAAAATGGACCCACTTACAATAGCATAAAAATACTTCGGAATAAATTGAGGTGAAAGATTTGTACACTGCAAACTATAAAACACTGCTGAAGGAAATTCAAGAAGACATAAGTAAATGGAAACACATCTCGTGCCCGTGGATTGTTCTGAGAACAGTAACTACCCAAAGCGATCTACAGATTCCTTGCAGTCTCTATCAAAATCTCAGAGGCATTTTTTGCCCCAAGTGAGAAACCCACATAGGGGTGGCAGCTACCCTATCAGCTCAGCTTAGAAAACATGTAAAGAAGTTTTTTCACATAAGGGAAGGGAAACAAAAATAATATAAAAACAGGGAGGGGGAAAAACCAGAAGAGGCTCGTAACTATGGAGAACAAACTGAGGGTTGCTGGAAGGGGTGTGGGAGGGGGGATGGGCTGAATGGGGAAGGGGCATTAAGGAACCTACTCCTGAAATCATTGTTGCACTATATGCTACATGCTAACTAATTTGGATGTAAATTTTTAAAAATAAAAAAATAAAAAATAAATTTTAAAAAAAGGAAGTTTTTTCCAGGGAAGCGGAGGAAAGTTGGGGGGTTGGGCAGAAGGAGAGAAATGGACATAAGGCTGCGGTATGGTGTGTGCCTGGCTGAGCCTAGTCACCCAGACCCTCTGACTGGGTTCCAGGTCCTGCAAGCCAGGTAGGCGGCTTACACAGTGTCTGGTGCATAGTAGGCCCTCAGCAAGCGTGCAATGAATGAAGGATGCAATATGAGTAAGACAATGCAGCACAGCAGGGTAAACTTTGTGGGTGCCCTTGGCAAGTCACTTCAAGCAAACCGAGATTAATAACAACTCCTGGATATGAAGAGCAGCTAAGAGCATGCCTCTAGAGTAAGAATGGCTGCTAGCTGGTGACTTCAGACAAATTATCTAACAATAGTAGCATTCCACAGGCGTTACTAAAGTAACAACTCTGACGCAGCATGTTTGCATGGATTGTATGTAAAGAACTTGGCAGAATCTGGCAGGTAACAAGTGCTCAGAAAAATACTGCCACTAGCCTCAAAAATGAAAGGAGATCATGAAGATGAAAGTGTTTTGTTTTGTTTCTTTACGACCTCTAGTGCACTGTAACAAAAGTAGTAAAACAGAAAGTAGGTTTTGACCTGGGCTCAGCGTCGCTGCGGGCAGAGCTTTACAGACTTCAATTGAGCTCACCTGAAACCCATACTCTTTGGGAAGGTCAAGAGTACACGCTGGCGTTTCCACTGCTAACGTCCACCTCCAGATGCAAACTTTCTGTAACAGCAGATAGAGGAGAATGAGAAAGTTCCTGAAGGCTGCTGAAGTACTCCACACCTCCCGTGGTAACCCTGTAACTTTGGTGAACTGAGGACGGCACTGTGAGCCGAGCCACAGGCAGAGAGCCCCTGACAAGGGGCCACGGAGTCCGGTCACGAGAGCATCACACACGCCGTGTGGCCTGAGCAGAGCTGCCCACCGGGACGCACGACAGGCCAGCCAGCCCGCCAAGGCCGACCCGAAGGGCCTTGTACCTGGATTTCAGCATCTGAGATGGTTGCCAGGTACTTGGCGTCCCGGGTGATGGCTATGGCCCCGATGCCGTTGCCTTCTGGGCAGCTGTCAAATATCGTGTGCACAGGAATGCTGCAAAACAGGACCGGGGAACGAGCATTTGCTGAGGTCTGCCATGCTTCCCAGACGGACTCATTTCAAAAGCATAACAGCTATGGAGAAACGAAATGTGGTCCAGGCATACAATGGACGGTGACTCGGCCCTAAAAAGGCCTGGTGCACTGACGCAAGTGTACCATGAGTGAGCCCCAAAAGCATCCTGCGACGTGCGAGAAGCCGGTCACAAAGACCATATATTGTATGAGTCCATTAATATGAAATGTCCACAATTAGAAAATCCATAGGGACAGAAAGCAGATCGGTGGCTGCTGGGGCGTGGGGAGGGGGGAACGGGCTTCCCTTTGTTGGGGGATGGAAATATTTTGGAGCCAGATACAGGTGGTGGTAGCACAACACTGTAAATGTGCTAAGTGCCAGTGGATTGCACACTTAAAATTTTTTTTAATGTTTGTTTATTTTTGAGAGAGAGAGAGAGAGAGACAGAGAGTGAGCGAAGGAGGGGCAGAGAGAGAGGGAAACAAAGAATCCGAAGCAGGCTCCAGGCTCTGAGCTGTCAGCACAGAGCCTGACACGGGGCTCAAACTCATAAGCTGTGAGATCATGACCTGAGCTGAAGTCAGACACTTAACTGACTGCGCCACCCAGGCGCCCCTGGATTTGCACTTTAAAATGGTTAATTTTAGGTGTGCCTAAGTGACTCAGTTGAGCATTCAACTCTTGATTTTGGCTCAAGTCATGATCCTAGGGTTGTGGGATCAAGCCCCGTATCGGGCTCCGAGCTGAGCATGGAGCCTGCTCAAGATTCTCTCTCTCTCTCTCTCTCTCTCTCTCTCTCTCTGCCCCTCCCCCCGCATGTGCATTCTCTCTCTAAAATAATAAAAAATAACAAAATAAAATGGCTAATTTTACATTATGTGAATTTTACCTCAAGTAAAAAAAATGAAGAAATAAAACTAACTCATCATCACGTAAATGTGCTATTTGCTGTTTTCATGAAGTTATTGAGCGCTGATTCTGTGCCAGGCACAAAGGATGAAAATATGGGGAAAGATGCCTGTGACAATCCCAGGCTCCCAGGAAAACGCGTGTCCTCCTACCTAAGTGGGAATGTAAATCAGCAAGCTTTTGGGATGGCAGTTTCACCACATCTATCAAAATTTTAAATGTATATGCACTAGGACCCAACAATTTCCCTGCTATGGCTTTTTCCCAGAAAAATAATAGCAAAAGTAAACAGAGATAAATATACACTCATGTTCACTGTGGCATGGCTTTAATGGCAAAAAAAAAAAAAAAAAAAAAAAAAA